TTTCTCTTCATGTTAATTTGTCTCTCATGTCAGCCATGTATCTTTTGAAGATTTTTGCTTTTGTTTTATGAAATCTTTTTGTTTTTAGAATTATTTTTTTCAAGATCCCAAACATGTGGTAATATAAATGGCTATGCATCTCTGCCTCATACTGCCCTGCCGGCTATCCACTGTGCTCTGTTGCCACAGTAACACATAAAAAACTTCATCTTAAAACCAGAAGATGAAACCCAACACTGTAACCTAAAGAGCTGCGGTTTATATCATTGCAGCTGTTGAAAGGACAAAATATTCTGCATTATTCAGTCAGGCTGCAAACCTTATGAGAAGCCAGTGGAATCGGTGAAGTCTAAGGAGGAGCCATCTTAATGTTTGTGACCCAGTGAGGAAATGGCAGAATCCATGTTGCCCAGTCAAACAGCATAGATTTTTAAGGACCTGTCAGGACACCAAGAGGGGTAGAAGTCAGTCGGAGGGCATATTTTTGTTTGTGCATCTTTGTGTGGGTTGGCTGTACTGTTTTCTCTGAAAATTTTTCATTTTCTACAAACCAATCATCTTCTCCCACTACCCCAGCTCTCATTCTGTCATCTCCACTACTATGATCAAACTGTTATTTAAATGTATCTACATGACTGCTTTTCTGAAAAAAGATGTATTATATTTATAACAAATGACTGTACATAGAATAAAATGTAACCAAGAACACGGCTGCCTGTTGCCTCCTTAGGTGTTTGGTTTATTTTAGAAATGTAATTTGCTGTATTGTTTCTCAAGTACCATCTACCAATCACAACACACAAGTTTGTTCTCTAATATGCAGTCCCTGGGAAGCATGTAATTGAACGTGCTGTGGTAAATGATGAATGCGAGGCTTGTTTTTTAATAATAGTAATTTTCTTTTTGTGCCTAGCTATTTGCTGCTTACATTTTTTAACAAGTGTTGCAAAACAGAGCTTCAGAATCTTGCCAGAAATGCTTTTGTCTTCGGTTTACTTTTAAATTCATTCAACGGCTGGTTCCGTCCATGGCACTGTATTTTATGTGAGGTTGGACTGCTCGAGGGGACAACTAGGTTTGTCTACAATGTTATGCATTTTGTCCCTGAAACAAACAAAAACTAGCTGGAAAGCTCAACATGCTTCAACATCATCCTGTTGATGTTGGGAGCTGACACATCAGTGAAAGGAATGTGATGAATTTCACAGCAATAGACATAACGGTGCACCCACCTAATTGATTTGTTTTAATACTTCCTACTTTGTTCTGTCACAAATTCATTTTTATATCAGTTTTTTTTTTCTCAAAATCTCAAGCTTTTTATCATTATGTTGTTTTAATAAAAATGATCTGAAATCATCGACTGAGCCCACTTTGAAAAACTACAACTACCGTATATGAGTTAACGTGTTGCTTTCCTCTTTCCAGTATTTACATGCACATACATATTCTTATAATAATATAATTATAATAACCTAAAGGCCATAACCATCTTAAACCAGCATTTTGGCGTCTAGAAATCTGAATGCTTGTATTAATCAGAATTTTCGTTGGTTGTAAACATTTTACATAATATTTTAGACTAGACACCATTCACTGTAATTGAACATTCAATTATATCAGCTTATGTTCAAATGAAGGTCAGTCTGGGTGCCATACAGATAGTTTTAAAAATTAAGCTACTTTAACATTTTTGATTTGTTTAGTTATTTTAATTCGCAAGCATGGTTTACATGAATAAATTGAGTGTTAGGGTATTATTAAGCTGCATGTAGCCTATAATTTAAGTTTATTTAATACTTTTGTGTAAAAGTACTCTGAATAAATACTAAAAATAAACCTTAAACATATGATGTGCATGTAAATGACGTTGACTTAAGTGTTGCTATCTCACTGTAGCAAACAGGTACAGAATATATGCATTTGGTTTTTTGTGTGGTTCTCAGCAGTACAAAGCGCATAATCCCAACATAATTCAAAGTTCTCGCCTGTTTTTATCGCACCAAAAATTCCACATACGTGTTTTTCTGTCCCTTCAGGTGCAAATCGACTCGCTCATACATTTTGAATCTTTGGACGCTGGAGTGAAGGATTGGATGGTTACTGTAGCGCGCTGAACGTCACGCTTCCCGCCGCTGCATAATTTCACGCGCTTCAGACTGAATGAGCGCTCACGTGTTCAGAAACGCAGAAAGTTTAAAGTGGCTTATATTTTTTGGCCAGTAATTGAAAGTCAGTCTGTTTTAATTTAGAGTTAAAACTGTGTAAAATACAGCAACAATTTATTTTTATACCTTTTAAACTCAGGAATGGTGTGTGGGATTAAGCAGGTTGAAGCTCTGATTATCCTGAAGGGTTCAGGATGTTTTATTCATTAAATGCAAAACTGTTCCCTCTCTTTTTTCCCCTTTACCGCTCCCTTCCCCTATACCTTTCCTTTCTGTTGCGTTCCTTTCTTTCCTGTTCTCTCTTCCTTCCTTTTAATCTCAATGCGCTTCTTTTTGTTTCTTTACATTCCTTCTGTTTTCTTTATTATTATTATTAAATGCAGAAAGTTTTATGTTAGGGTTTATAACTAGATGTAGCCTATATGAAAACAATAGAAGTCTATGTCAGCTAAATGTGTGTGGGTCTGTTTACTTAATCATATTTTGTGGCCAAATTTGTGCCCAGAAGTGAGTTAAATATGACAAAACCTCCCTCTGAAGGCATTCTCATTTGTAAAAACTGTATAAAAATAAAGCAAATAAAAGTTGCTTGAAAAATGCATGAAATTCTCTTTTAGGGTTAGTGTGTGGGTTAGGGTTAGGTTGAAGTATTTATTTAAAAAATATAAATAAAAAGTATGCAATGTCCCCATTTAGATAGCGAAATAAGTGTGTGTGTTAGCCATTTTGTTCCATTCTGTAAAATCGCTGTGGATCCAGTAAAAAGTGTTACAACCTCCCATGTTTTTACATGTTTTGTTTAGCATGTAGATGAAAAGCTTGTGTGGATGTTAAACATTATAGATGAACCCGCTGAGTCAGATGAAACCAGTTGTCATTTAACATTCAATAACAAAATCTCAGATGTGAAATTTTACTTCACATTTGTACTTTAAATCCTTTATATGTTTTAACAGAGCTTTTACTGTCGCCTCAGCTGGATGGTGGTCATGCGTGATAGTGACTTCTCTCCAGCTGCAGCTCTTTTCATGTTACAACCCACTCTGTGTTACAACACTCCCTCCTGCTGCAAATCAAACTTTTTCTTAACCACTGAAACAGAGACAACATCCATACTGTGATCATTTGTGTTATTACATTGCTTATATTAATATTGAAACTATTCTAGTAATCCGAGAAATACCTTAATCTGTATTCATCAATGCATACTTCCACCCCTTTTTTCGCAAAATCTGAGGTTTTACTAGTGCATTTATTTAAGTTTATTAATAACAGCCTCTTGCTCAGCCTGAAGTGTCTTGTGGTTCTCAGATTCAGCACCCATAGATGGAGAGGTCTGGCAAGGATGTATGTAATGCTTTCTTTCCTCCTTCACCCGTCCCTGACTGCAGCTCCTGTTGCCATTAACCCTCCTGTTACCCTAAAATCTGGCAACACCTTATCCCCTTTGGGGTCAATTTGACCCCAGCAATTTAAACCTCCAGAATATTATTTATTTATTTTTTATTTAAAAGTTTGTGTCAGGTCATTTCCACTTGTCCCATACATCCCATATTGCTGCGAGTTTGTCATGCTGTCGTCGGCCCTGTCGTGTTTCTTTGTCATCAAAGCGTATGACACAGGAGAAAACCTGGAATGTCTTTAGAGACATGGTGGCTGGAGATATTGATCTTCCAGTGTCAGCATTCCAAAGGCTTGCTGTTGCTTCTTCTTTTGACTTGTACACTCCTGCCAAAATGAGCACTCCTATGAAGGCTTGCAAGTCAGTCACATCAAAGTCCCATACACCCTCCTCTCCTCTAAGTTTGTCATTTCAAGTATATTCTTTTCAATTGATGGTGTAATGAAAAGCTCAAATGCTGATTTTACTGTATATCTTGGCCATGGCTGACAGCATATCTGGTGGAACCATTTTGATGACATTAGCAGCACTAAGCTTACCCTGTCATTCAAGAGGGGAGCGGGACCATAATAACTTTCCATTTTCAGACAATGTGTCTGCTGGTGGTTGAGAGACAACAGGAGGATCAACACTAGGAGTCTTATTCTCATCTGAGGAGGATGCCTCATAATCAGGGTCCTCCTCAACATTATCGTCTGCCTCAGACACATTCTCCTCTATGTCACTTTCACTGTCAAAAAACTGTAACAAAATATCATTGACTTAAGTGTTGCTATCTCACTGTAGCAAACAGGTACAGAATATATGCATTTGGTTTTTTGTGTGGTTCTCAGCAGTACAAAGCGCATAATCCCAACATAATTCAAATTTCTCGCCTGTTTTTATCGCACCAAAAATTCCACATACGTGTTTTTCTGTCCCTTCAGGTGCAAATCGACTCGCTCATACATTTTGAATCTTACTTTGGACGCTGGAGTGAAGGATTGGATGGTTACTGTAGCGCGCTGGAAAACCTTTGCTTAGAGGCCATTTTCAATAGAGAGAGAGAGATAGAGAGCATAAAGAGAGAGCACAGAGCACAAAGAGAAATGGTTCAGAAGGCTTCTGTGTAAGCTTTTATATGTTTGCTTCTCTCCAGTAAACCACGAGAATTGTTTCTTTACATTCCTTCTGTTTTCTTTATTATTATTATTATTAGCTTATTTTTATTATATTTGCTAATTCTAATGATTCATACCTTCAGGGTTTTTGTTTTTGTTTTTTTTAAGGACTCTTAAAGCACTAATCATTTTGCACTTGAACATGAATGCTGAACCTGCTGTCCCAATACGAGAATCCGGATCTAATGTAATGTAATGTGTAAAGGCACGAAAAGATGCATTACAATAACGCGCGCTGTCGTCAAAGGTCGATGCGTTTCCAAACTCACCGTTGCGCGCATCAGGCGTTCAGTACAACTGCTTTTTAAGGAAAGGTGAGTTGAGGAGGAGGGTGGGGGGTTATTCACAACTCGCTGTGGACCACTCGGGATCATCTGCACGTGCATTTGCGCACAGTCTTGCGCAAAATCACTGATCACCACCGGAAGGGCTCTTTTTTGGTCTCCCACGCGCATCTACTCGACTGTGCGTGCCACCGCGATGTGGGTCCGAACCGCGGAGCTTTGACGAATGATCACGGATAAAGCGGATGAACCCCTTCGGCTTTCCGAGGAGAGGCGAGGCTGACGGCTGTCATGGTAGGAGGGTGATGTTGGAGATGTTGGGTGGAAGAGATCAATCAGGGTTGTTTGAACCCACTTGGATTTTTCTAAGTGATGACATCGAATGTCTCCTAGCGAGCAGGTGCATGTGGATAAATAGCGCGCAAAGGAGGCAGGTGTGGACGCGAGAGTTTGGTGCCGATGAGACGCGCGTCTGGAACCCGAGTGTCTTGCGATTATGCGCTTTTCTCTTCAATTTCGGTGTCTCGCGGTGGCATTCCTCATGCATATACCCCATTCACTTGTTGATTGTTTGTAATCCTGCCTCGAAAACTCATGTGGTGTTTTTCCAGGCTTTGGTTTTGGTTTTATTAGTGAATGAAAGAAGCTGTGCGCTTGTTGGCTGAGGGTTGCGCTTCTCTTCGAACAAAGTCGATGAGTGCTGTAATACAAGTTGGTTAAACATTTGTATCTCAGCATGTTATAGTGACCTCAATATCACCCAAAACAAATGTGTAAAATGTTGATATTTATTATGTTTTATACAGCTAAAAGAGCCTGGGGTCAAATTGACCCCAAAGAACACAGATGCTACAAAATGTGAGGACATTGGAAAAATATCATCATGTTAATTTTATGTTTACTGAGTTGTCCCCATAGGAAAAGTCATTAAAGGGCACCTATTATGCAAAATCCACTTTTACATGGTGTTTGGACATAAATGATGTCACACTGCATAGGGCGGGGCCACGGGGGTTGATTGACAGCCCTGCATTGCTATAGTTTCCGCCCTCAGCAGTTGTACACTCTCCTCCATTTTCTCCTCGCTCGAGCAGCTGTAACTGATTCTAACTCATTTAGAAGGCTGCGCCCTCCAGAGGTCGCATTCGAAGGCTGCATATGTCATGCTAATGTCTCGTAAGCGAGGGAATTCCAAGAAGGCGGAGTGAGCGGTCGCGTTTATGCAGGCTCTGAGGAAAATAGCTTGAAAACGTCCTAAAATTGTTATCTCTGACAAAAAAAACAACAACCGGTAGTTAAGTTATTTTCAAGTTTGTTTCAACTTGTGGACTTGTTGCGCTAACTACACAAGTTTTCTCCTTTTCCTTAAATGTATGTGGCCAAATTTGTGCCCAGAAGTGAGTCAAATATGACAAAACCTCCCTCTGAAGGCATTCTCATTTGTAAAAACTGTATAAAAATAAAGCAAATTAAGGTTGCTTGAAAAATGCATGAAATTCTCTTTTAGGGTTAGTGTGTGGGTTAGGGTTAGGTTCCCCATTTAAAACTCTAATTAAGAGATTTGACGAGCAAGATCAGCGACTGAAAATAATTGAAAAGACAATGGAGGAAAATGCACACGCAGTTAAAGAGAATAATGAAGAAAAAGGAAGTAGCAGACTTGAGGAAAGAGAACATCTTACTGAGACAGCAGTGTTTGGAGCATGCCAGATACAAAAGAAGATGGGATCTCAGACTGATCGATCTTCCAGAAAAGGCAAAAGAAGACACAAGAGAAACGGTGATCGGAATTCTTGATTCCGTGGTCAGTGGAGAAGCTCCGGCAGTCGGTGGATATCGTGCATCGGTTAGGAAAAATAAACGACGCTGCTACCAATAAGTTACCCAGGCCAGTGATCATTCAGTTTGCAATGCGGACTGTGCGTGATGAAGTGTGGAAAAAATCAAGAGAGGCAAGAGT